GCAGTTTAAACCTGGTCGCAGTCAAATTATTCCTGATTCTGTATATATTTATGTAGATATTTGCCTACAGGTGCAGTGTGAGAGGCAACCTTGGTTAAACTTTATTTTCTGTAAATTTGTTTTGTATTTAATGAAAATACAATATTGAACAATATAGGTTGTTTTATTGTCTGAAGTTGCATAGGGAATGTATATGCTGTTTTCTAAGACAAATGTAAATGTAACCTAAGGTGGTTCTGGAGTTCATAATTTCCACGTCTGTATACCATAACAAGTATAAAAAAATAATGAAGTGAAACCGTTTCTACACTACTACTACTCCCCTCTTAAGCCCTTGCTCATTTTTTTGCCCTTATTAGGGGTATTAGAGGCCTACTTATTTATTGAGAACTTAATGCCACATCAACATCTAAGGTCATTTGCAACGTATTCGAAATATAGTGATAGGATGGGGCTTGAGGGCAAAGCCCCCAGGTAAGGAATTTTTGGGGGGGCCATGAGCCAATGTTTGTAGATTCCTAGAATGGTTTAAGGTTAAAAATAATAAATTTGCTAGATATCGAAAGTCCTATTGCATTATGATAAAATATTGTGGCAAAAAGGGTAAAAATGAGTTATCCTAATTGTTAAGTGAACAGGAGGGATGAAGAAAAGAAAAGAAAAGACCATGTAAACGGAGTCGAGCAGAAGGGTGATGTCCAGGTCGGGTGATCCCATAAATTGGGCCTGTCTCCGTTCACTAAGCATCCCCACAGCAACAGCGAGCAAGGGGTTTGGGAGGAGTCAAATTGCATATCTAAATTTGATTTCTCTGGTTTCTCGACCCTTGCCTCTCCTTTGGCCACGGCTCCGACCACTGATACTAATATCCCTTCCTTGATACTTGCTGTCAACTCTATCCATTCCAAATTATCCACCCAAGTCATTACTCAACCTTCAGAATGTACCCCGACATCCTCCACTCCATATCCTACTGTACAGCCTTCTGCACTGTCTACCCTCTTCCCCTTTATTACTACTATCCTTATTCTCCTCTCCACACCACCCCATCTTCCTCTGCAAAACTTTTGAATACTCTTTTTGGCTCAGCTAAGTGGGGTCGATTCTGTGTGTTTCTCCAGGCTGGGTAGCAGGCTGGGGAGCGGCAGTGTTTGGCTGGGTGTCTAAAAGACCATTTGATCTCGAAGGGAAAAGGCTCGATATGGACACTCCACTAATATAGACTTCATGGGGGAGTTCATGTTTATGGAAGCTAATCTTAGGACGACATGAGGTATATCAGGGAAATTATGGGGTAAAACAGGACCCCCCGGGGGACAAGATATTAGCAACATGGTCAAGGTCACCCCCCCCGGGGGGGGGGGGGGGTGACCTTGTCAAGATGACTTCTGGGAGCAAATTGAGACTGGGTCATCCTCGGGCACAAGCAGTGAACGTCCACCGGAAACGTGGCGTGGGACAGCAGCTGCAGGAAATGTGGGGGGGGGGGGGGGGGGGGGGGGGGCGAGGCGAGGGACAATATGTAGTATAAGGTAGTGGCAGAGTTGGGTAACAAAACTTACATGAAATGATTGAACAATACAAACCAAGACAAAGTTCTTCAATGGCAATGTGTGCAAATGCTTCCCAAGGGTGCTAGGCATATATATTACCACAGGGGTCCAGGGGGCAGAGCCCCCTGCCTAGGAAATGTATACCACGGTGTTAAGTTAGGTTGGGGGGGGGGGGGGGGGCGAGGCGAGGGACAATATGTAGTATAAGGTAGTGGCAGAGTTGGGTAACAAAACTTACATGAAATGATTGAACAATACAAACCAAGACAAAGTTCTTCAATGGCAATGTGTGCAAATGCTTCCCAAGGGTGCTAGGCATATATATTACCACAGGGGTCCAGGGGGCAGAGCCCCCTGGCTAGGAAATGTATACCACGGTGTTAAGTTAGGTTGGATGTTGGGTTAGGACGTTTTGTTAACAACCACGGGGGTCCTGTTTTACCCCATAATTTCCCTGATATACCTCATGTCCTCCCCTGCTATCGGGACTATCAAATCAAGATTGTCGATGGAGATGGTGATCATATCTCCTCAACGATTCATTTGCACAAGGAACAATGCCTAGAATTGTTGAAAGCAGTGGATTTCATGCAGAAAAATATCAAAATTGTTTCGAAAGTAACTCCCTACCCTCATCTACATATAGAACGGAGGGGGGGGGGATCTTCTCTTTTACGTATATCACCCTTGGGAAGCATTTGCACACATATTGCCATAGAAGAACTTTGTCTTGGTTTGTATTGTTCTATCATTTCATGTAGGTTTTGTTACCCAACTCTGCCACTACCTTATACTACATAGTGACCGAGGCGAGGTCCCTGTTTCCGTCTGTTTAATGACCTGCCATAGGGCCGCAGAACACGGGGCCACAAGCACGGGGACGCAGAACACGGAGGTTAATGTTACCGAGAGCGACGTACAGCGACAAAGGGAAATGAACAATGCGGCCTCATATTAACCGCGAAATGACAAAAAATTCCGATGCATGTCACCGCTCAGAGACAGTCCACACCACCTTGACAGCCAGTTTTCTTAATGTCGTATTTTGTTTAAGTAGGCACGAAGTGCTATTAAGAGGGGGGGTACAGCCCCCCCATCTAGCAAAAATAGAAGATAGGGAAGGTTAAGTTTGGATTTTGGGTTCGCATGATACATACCCTGGTTTTGGAACTGTCTGTGGAGGGTGCGTCGCTCTCGGTAACAAATACCGGAAATCCAATGTTTCCAGCAAATAATAATAATAATAATAATAATAATAATAATAATAATAATAATAATAATAATAATAATAATAATAATAATAATAATAATAATAACAATAATAGAATTGCGGAGGGGAGGAGAGGGAGGATTGACGAAACCTTGCCTACTCCGACTTAACAGAGAACTGAAGGCTCACGAATTTACGAAGGCTCTTAACCCAACCGTGCTTCTTGAAGGAACCGAACCCGAAACAGTTCTGGTTCGCGAAGCTTCACAGACATAGTTCAGTCGTTAATCATCCAGTTGCCAGTTTCGGAAAAGAAGCCAGTGATATGCAGTCAGTGATTTATGATTATTTTACTATAGTAGAAACACCCATGATGTTCAAATTAGATTTATTGAGATCTAGTTTGTGGAGTTTTGTACTATAGGAGAGTTTTACCCTTCACATTACCATTGTGTTATATGACCTTTGATGTATAACACATTTATTTGTTTCATCTGTTAACCATTAACCATTATTCCTTATTTCTCCCATTTCCGTCTTTCTGCCTGTTTTATCAACCTCTTGTCTTACTCTTTTACTTTATTGTTTTTTTCCATCTCCGTTATCCATTTTTCCATTCATGCTTTTATCAATCTCTTTATCAATTATCTTCAATGACCACTATTTTGTCTTTCTTTGCATAACAGGAAATATTTCTACAGGAAGCTAATTGAGATATGTGATTATAATTTATTGCATTTCATGTTGCTAATATCAACCAAGGTCAGATCCATGATATAATTAAGGATTTGATAACCCTGTATCATTTCCGGCCATTAGTGTCTGTTGGAAGTGGTATTTGAAGCTGGATCGTTTAAGTGATATTTCTTTGTGTATTCTGAAGCCTCTATTTTTTTCGTATTGTGCCTGAAATTCAGCTTTTAATTCATAAATGCTATAATTATATAATAAAGATATATATATTATATCTATAAATATTACACCTGTTATAAAGATTTTCAATTTTCACCGATTCATGATTTTAAACGGACTTAGGTGTAATGAAAAAAACTAACTTTATATATATTCTTTTTAAGTAGATATCTAACGTGACTTGAGTGAAACAAAGTCGGGTATTTATTCCAGACATTTATTTTGATAAAATCTGAGTACACTTAGAAAGGTAGTTAAAGCTTGAAAAAGCCAAAAAATATGACTTATTTGCAAGATGAAATATATATATATACCACAGGAAAAATAGTGCACATACGTCCCTAAGAACAAATATATATTACAGTATTTCTTATTTACACTTTAGTATAGTATACAACAGTAATAGGTAAATAGTCTATATACAATAAAATATACATCGCTTTACCTCATACAACAGGAAATTTATCAGGTTTTTCATTCATGCATATGTGTCTAATAACTTCTTATTAGACAATAACTCTCACTTTGTAAACTTTTACTAACTGTAGGGTTAGTTTTGACTTTAGAATAAAAAAAACACGTTTAAATACATTTGTATATATGCATATACTGTATGTGTAAGTATGTATGTATATGTAAATATGTATAAACATATACATTGACGTGTGTGTGTGTGTGTGTGTGTGTGTGTGTGTGTGTGTGTGTGTGTGTGTGTGTGTGTGTGTGTGTGTGTGTGTGTGTGTGTGTGTGTGTGTGTGTTTGCACATAAGTGTACAAATATATATATCATTATTTCAATATTTGTTTTAATACTTATTAGTAATGTTTACATATATTAAACCATGCAACACACAAACAAATAATGTCATATAGGCACTTGGAATACGCATTGAGTATATAAGTTTCTGTGGAGGAACTTGTGATATACAAAGTTAACAATTTGTAAAAAAGTCTTCCGCCCTGTCTTCATTCTTCACAAAAAGAAATATACAATAAACTTACACACTTTAATAACCTCTTGGGATTTTAGAATTTGAAATTATATATGTATATAAAAAACTTATTTCAGGGAGAAAATCTGAAACGTGGCAGCTTAGTGTAAATAATCAACACATCACCGCAATTAATATATTATTTTTTTGGATAAACATTTTCAATTTATATTACAGAGAGTGGATATACAGATATATGAATGGACAACTTACAACAGAATATGTATGAAATATATTGTATGTTATATATATATATATATATATATATATATATATATATATATATATATATATATATATATATATATATATATATACAGACACACATTTATATATATCAGTTATATATATAATTTATTCATTGTTTATCTACTCATCTGTTTATTTATTCTTATTAACAGAATCTTTAACCCACTGATCCTATAACACAAAAAATCTCCGAATTTCAGGAAATGAGCCAATTGCATTCGTATCTGGAGCAACGATACATATATATTTGTAGGATGTATTGTTGGCAGGACACTGTAGTCTAAAATGTGTACACGCACTCCTCTTGCTGTTTTCATTGGCGATCAATTCGTTCATTAATATCAAGTAATGTTCTTCAGGTATAATAAAAATCGAAAAAAAGTGACACACAATTTCCTTTGGGTTTTTTTGTACATATAAATCTGTCTTATGTGGAGGCAATTTCGTATCGTTCTTCTACATTGACAGTTTTAGTAACTTTAGCACAGAGACGTGTCTTTGAAAGCATATGTATATATATATATGTACATGCAAGAAAATGCTTTTGTATTGTGTTCCCGTACAAACCGACGGTATCTCTCAACCCTTACATTTTTTCTCTCTCTCTTTCTCACATCAGAAAATTACCGTTTCCCACTTTATCGCTGCAAACTCCTCACACTGGTATCTTTTCGTTGCAAATCGCAAACTCCTCATATCCTTTCGTTGCAGACTTCACCCACTAATATTTCTTCGCTGCAAAGCCACAAACGCTAACATCCTTTTGTTGCAAACACCATACTCCTTCTGTTGCAGACTTCACCCAATATCATTTCCTCGTTGCAAAGCCCCAACCACAACCCTCTTGCACCGATTTCTCTAAATCATCCTCATCCACGCCATCCTCCTCTCAAGAAACCCAAACATTAGAAGAAAGTCCACGCGCAGGATTCCACTGCAGGTCAACACTCGCTCTCCTGTTCAACGGGAGACCGGGAGTCACTCGCAGTCTGGCCGCTCGAAGCAGGGTTCGGTTTCGTCTCTGCGGCCGAACTCGTCTCGGTCGCTTCGGTCACTTCCTCTATTTGTTCTTTTAGCTTCGTTTCGTGTGGCTCCTGTTGCTCCTGTTGGTGAGGTTGTTGCTGTTGCTGTTGTTGCATGAGCAGTCGTTGTTGCAGCTGTAATTGCTGTTGGGTTAGATGGATTAGAGACTTGTTATTATTTTAGAAGGGAATTAGAAATTTATTTTGAATTTAGAAATGAATTATTATGCTGTGGTTCTTTAATTACTGAATCTATCTATTTCTATTTAAGGAATGAATTATCATGACAAATGTCTTTAAATACTGAATCTAATTATATAAATTTATTTCTGTTTAATTATTTCGCTTCTAAATCTGCTAATGAGAGTCAGTTCCGAGTTTAGGAGAGTTAAGCGGTTCCCTCTATACCTTGGCGTTGGCGAGCGCCTGGTGCCTGTAGTGGGACGCCAGGAGCTCGAGCGAGGCCAGGTAGGCGGCGGTGGACGAGGCCGAGCTCTGCTTCTCCGCCTGCTGCCTCTGCTCCTCCCGGCGGACGGGCGAGGGCGACCGCGACCCTCTGGAGGCGTGGGGGCGGCCCGCGGACGTGACGGAGGGTCGCGGGAGGGACAGGCTGTGCGTGCGGAGGGCGGGTCTGGGGCGCGGGAGCACGGCGGTGCGACCGTCCCACGCCGGCCCCTGCAGCGTCTTGCGGATCACGTCGACGACCCTGGGCGCCGTGGAGGGGGCGCCGCCCGCCGCGCCGCCGCCCGCGCCGTCGTGGGGCCGCGTCGCGTGCACCAGCACCGGGTTGATGGCCTCTGTGAGTAGCATGACGTTCTCGGTGAGGGCGGCGAGGCCAAACACGTCCTCGTAGAGCGGCAGCGGCGCCGTCCTGCGGTGCACAGGCACCAGCAGGCCGCCCTGGCTGCTCACGAGCGCCGCGGCGTCGGACATGTGGCGCAGGCGCAGCGGCTTGGGCGGGCGCGGCGGCGGGCGGTCGGCGGAGGTGCGCACCCGGCCGCTCGCCGCGTCGCCCTTGTTGATCTCGATGACGGTGACGTTGGCGTCGCCGCAGCGCCGCTCGTCCTCGTCGCTGGGCGCGGCGGACGACGACGCGGGCGACGGCGGTCCCGAGTGCGGCGGCGACGGCTCCTTGCTGCTCACCTCGGGCGACGAGTAGCCCGACGACGACGACCCGTCGGTTGCCGCCGCCTCCGGGGGCTCCTCGCGCCGCCCGCCCTTGCTCCAGCGCTCGGCCGGCGCCGCGCGCGGCGGCTTGGCGACGGGCGGCGCCGCGGTGTCGGTGCGGTAGCGCGGCGCGACGCTGAGGTTGGTCTGCGCGCAGGAGGCGCGGCGGCGCACCGGGCGGTACGCCTCGGTCTGGCAGCCGGCCGTGCGGAAGGACGGCACGCGCAGCACGATCTTGTTGCGCTGCAGCTCCCCGCGTGGAAGCCGCTCGAGCAGCGCGCGCGAGTCCTCGAGCGCCTCGCGGTGCGCCACCTCGTACTTGCTGGGCTTCGAGGGCGGCTTCGGGCCCTTCTTGAGGATGCCCTTCGGCGCCTTCGCGTCCGCCGCCTTCACGCTCTCCGCGATGTTCTCGTCCGACTTGGTGGCGCGCAGAAGCGGCGGCGCGCCGTGGTCCAGGATGTTCGTGAGGACCTCCTCCAGGCGCCGCAGGTTGGCCGCGCTGTCGCCCTCGGCGCGCTTGCGCTCAGGCTTGGCGGGGGCGGCGTGGCCAGCGGGGCCCGGGCGCGCGATCGTCATGTTCTTGTCGGCGAGGCGCGGCGGCTTCTCCAGCAGCGACGACCGCGGCGGCTTCCTCACCTCCGGCCGCGGCGGCTTCGCGGCGTCCGGCTTCGGCGGCTTCGCGCTCTCGGGCTTCGGGGGCCGCCGGTCGTGCTGACGCGTGAGCGACGCCTCCCGCGAGGACTCGCCGTCGGAGTGCAGCGGGAGGATGTTGCGCGGCTGCGGCGCCGGCCGCTTGCGGGTGTTTTTGATGTTCTCCTCGATGACCGGAAGCGGCAGCGCGCGCTCGAGTGCCGTGACGCGCTTGGCGATGCCCGGGTGCGCGTCGCGCAGCAGGCTCTCCGTGCGCACCGGCGGCTCCGGCGCGATCTCTGCGGCGCAGATGCGCGTGCTCTCGTAGGCCTGCGTCTCCTGTTCGCGACGCGCGGCGTCGTGGCAGGCGTCCGGCTCCTCGTCGTCGTACTCCTGCTGCGCCTGGTGAATCATGGGCGTTGTCTGCAGCCTGGGCTTGGGCTTGATGGGGGGCGGGGGCGCCGGGCCCTTGGGCTTGACGACGCGCACCACCGGCCTGCTGACGGGGCCGAAGGACGTGAGGACCTTCTTTCCGTCCAGCAGCCGCTCCTGCACGCTGGCGGTGCGGTGGATCTGCGCGGCGAGGCCCCCGCCGGGAGGGAACTCCTGGAACGACGACACGAGGCTCTGCTCGGACATGCTGCGGTCGCGCGGGAAGGTGCCCACCTCGATCACGGGCGCCGCGTCCAGGTCGTCGAGCGAGCACGCGTGGAACTTGCGGCTGAGCGTGGCGGCGCCCGCGTCGTCGCCCAGGAGCAGGCGGCCGCTCACCGAGTTGGAGCGGTGGATGCGGCGCGCGTTGGGGCGCGCGTACTGCGACGACAGCGTGTTGAACGGCAGCTCGGGGCACACGACGGGGCTCGGCCGCGCAGGGTACACGTCAGGCATGCTGGCGTCGCGCCGCACCGCGAAGCTCTGCGCGCGCTGCGGCCGCTGGTGCACGCGGGCGTAGCGCGGCGTGGCGAAGGAGGCGTGGCGGGCGGGCGGGCGACGGCTGCCGTCGGGGAAGTCCGAGAGCAGGTCGAGCCCCATCGGGTAGAGCGCCGTCGGGTTCTTATCTTCCTCGGGATGGTACACCCAGGCCGACGAGCCGGCCGGGTCGGGCAGCGCCAGCACGTCCTCGAGGGCCGGCGACGCGTCAGGACCCCCTTCCTGCGGACACGACAGCGCTCGTTAGGACACGCGGGACACGGGGGCACAGGCAGGGGAAGGGGCACAGGGAATAATGGCTGATGATTGTACGTGGAAAATAACAAATAAATGTCAAGATAATGGGTGATAATAGTACGTGGAAAATAACTAATGTCGTGGTCTTCATGAAACGGCTTGTGGCAAATGGCTACTTTTTTGAAAACGAGTTTGACGTCGATGGCTGTCCATCTTCTGTGCAAGTATTTTTGTCAGTGATTTATGAAGTTACAAAATAAACAAATAAGTAAATGTAAGTAATTGGAATACAATTAGTAACAGAACTAGAATTGGTAGTAATTGTAGTAATGATAATAGTAATGGTGATAATTATTGATGATGGTAATGATAAAAGAGAGAGAGAGAAAGAGAGAGAGAGAGAGAAATAACGATAATGATAATGATAAAAATAATAATATCAATAACAACAGCAAATAACAAAAGCAATAACAGTAATAACGAGACAGAGTGAGAGAGGAGAGAGTGAGAGAGAAAGAGTGAGTGAGTGAGTGAGTGACTGTGTGTGTGTGTGTGTGTGTGTGTGTGTGTGTGTGTGTGTGTGTGTGTGTGTGTGTGTGTGTGTGCGTGTGCGTGTGCGTGCGTGCGTGCGTGTGTGCGTGTGTGTGTGTGTGTGTGGTGTGTGTGTGTGTGTGTGTGTGTGTGTGTGTGTGTGTGTGTGCGTGCGTGCGTGCGTGTGTGTGTGTGTGAGAGAGAGAGAGAGAGAGAGAGAGAGAGAGAGAGAGAGAGAGAGAGAGAGAGAGAGAGAGAGAGAGAGAGAGAGAGAGAAAAGAGAGAAAAGTAAAGTAAAGGAAAAAAAGAAAATAACAAAAATACCTAAAGGAAATTAATCAATAAAACAAAATAACAACTGCAAACAAATAATGCAACAAGCTAGTCTCAGCTAAAACATTCGGAGAAAAAAAAAACAGTAAGAAAAAAAACAATAAAACAAAAAACAAAAAAAACAAAAAATCCATATTATCTCATTTAAGCCAAAAAAGTGTTACTCACCCTCATCAATGATTGAAGAACTAGTAGGAGGTAACAGCTGATCCTTAAAATCATGCAGCAGTGTCATGCACAGGTGGACAGGAAGGAGACTATACGTAGGTGATCATTCAGTGTTCGTTAAGTACTTGTACCATTCATGCAGTGTAGGTATAAAATTTCATGCTTTCAGATTCAACATTTCTGTAGTTTTTTTCCATCGTTTTTTTCAGTTTTTTGAAGGGTGGGGGTGGGGAGGAAAAGGGGGGGGGAGAGGGAAATCACCGTCGTCTGGCTCGTCTTGAAGTAGCGACATTTTTTTTCCCCAGGATGTAATTGCTGGTGTTTGTGCATTCCGTTGACAACGCCGGCTGGAAAGAGGTTTGTTTGGGTGTGCCCGTTCTTGTCATAGAAAACGGTCGTGGCCTAAGGTCTGCCAGTTGACGAAGTATGTCACTCATTCCTTGATGCTGCGTCGACAACATGCCTTGTGAGTCACCATGGGAAAAGTGTGTGTGTGTAGTAGAGAGAGGATGGGAGGGAAAGGGAAAGGGAGGGAGGGAGAGGGAAAGGGAAAGGGAGAGGAAGAGAGAGAGAGAGAGAGAGAGAGAGAGAGAGAGAGAGAGAGAGAGAGAGAGAGAGAGAGAGAGAGAGAGAGAGAGAGAGAGAGAGAGAGAGAGAGAGCAATCGTTGCTAAATCATTAGCAACGATGAAAAAGAAAAAAAAATCGTGTAATAAATCAACCTAAACCTGACTTTCATCTCTCTGTCGCCACATCAACATGCTCACCCGACATGGAGTTAGTCAAACAGCTATCCTTGCCCCAGAAAAAATGACTCATTATCCTAAAACATTAATCCTAAAGTCATGTCACACTCCAGCGCCGAGGTAAGTATGGGCGCCACACTACAAAGATCCATTTAGAAGTATGAGGTACGTCTTTTGCAACCATCATTCATATCCTCTTTACTTAGAAAGACTGATAATTAGTGTGAATTATCCTTTTTTTTTCCTTGTCTTCTACTAACAAACGTCTCGGCAGAGTTTTTAATCTGCTTTGGAGGAGAAAAAATATAAAGGAAGGGAATCAGACTGTCATGCGAAAGGAGACAGATAAATACTTTCTCTTTGGTTTATTTGCTGTGTGAAAAAAATGTACACAAATGTCACCGACAGTTTGTGTGAGTATGGGATAACAATGTACAGGAGAGAGTACATGATAGTACATAAGATTGAGCGTTCGTGGCACTCTCCCGGCTGGCGGAGCGGGGTGCCAGCTGAGCCACAGGAAATGTTCTCGAGAAATGAGCGTGAGTGTCCCAGCGAGAGTGACGCAAGGCGCGTCCGCTGATAGCACGTGGGCTGTCCACTGTCACTCGCCTTTTGCTTTTACACTGAGATTCTCGGTTTCCCGAGTTCGATGCCTGTCGGCGCCGCGCCCCGGCCATGTCCGTGATCACGCTGCTAAACAAATGGGGGCGGCGCCTGGGTGAGCAAGGGGAAGTGGGTGACTGTTAGGGGAAGGGACTACGACTACAAGGAAGCGAAGGGCGGCGCCTCAGTCCAGGTCCACCACGAAGCCTCCTCCGGCCTGCGGGGAGTACTGGACCACGGCGCACGACTCCCACCCACCCGCCGACGTCGCCCGCATGTTGCGGGACCCGCTGGAAGTCTTGGGCGTCGGGGGGTCCGGCGGCGGCGCGCTGGGCCGCACCACCTTCGGCCGCGGCGTCATCTGCATGTGGCAGCTCTCGGGGATGGAGTAGATGGAGGTGCTGCGGCTGGAGGAGGGCGCGCGGGAGTTCCTGCGGGAGTGCGCCAGCGGCTGCAGCTGCGCCTCGAAGCCCACCAGGTCGGGGCGCGCGGCGTCGTTGCAGGGGGCGGGGCGGGCGGGGTGGAAGGAGCTCTTGGACGCCTTGGAGAGCGTGGACGTGCGCGAGTGCACGTCGCCGCCGGGGTCGCGCGCCGCGAACTGCTGGTTCTGCTTCATCTCGTGCACCACCTCCGGGAGGATGAACTGCCACGCCGAGCGGTGGTTGCGCAGGAAGTACGGCACGCAGCTCTCGGGCGTCTCCGGCTGCGACGACGGGTTGTCGATGCCCGTCTGGCTGCCCCTGGAGCTGCCCCCGCCGCTGTCGCCGCTCAACAGCCGCGTCCTACCACTAGTGCTACCGCCACCACCACCGTCAGCCTCACCGTGATCACCAACACCAGACATGCCATGCACTTGCACTCCGCCACCCACACTACTGCTTCTCCTCTGCGCCCTCGGCGCGGCCACCTCCCCGGCGCCCGCGGAGGAGGGGGACCGCAGCCGCGGGGGGGTGTGTACCTGGCGGTGATGCAGGTCCTCCTCCGAGAGCGACCTGGTGACCGGCATGCGCCCCTTGACCCTCGGGCCGCGAACCACCACGCAGAACAGGTACTGCGCGCCGAAGAAGCTCACGACGATGCCCATGGCCGTGACGACGGTGGTCAGCCAGAACGCTGCGGGGAGAGGGGGGTGAGAACACGGGACACAAACGACCCTTATGTAAACAGACAGAAATGAACAAAAATGAACAAAAAATGCATTAGCGTGAACCGACCTATAAGCATGGTGGTCTCCTGGTTGTTGCCGACGATGTCGCGCACGTCGCTCTCCGACAGGAACACGCCGTTCTCGCCGACCTGGGGAACACACGAGGGTTACTCACTCGGATCTCTATTGCTTTCGTTCTTCTTCGTCTCCTTTCTTTCTTTCTTTCTTTCTCTCTCTTTCTCTCTCTCTCTCGCTCTCTCTCTCTCTCTCTCTCTCAATATCTCTCTCTCTCTCCCTCAATCTCTCTGTCTCTCTTTCCCTCTCTCTCTCTCTGTCTCTCTTTCCCTCTCTCTCTCTCTCTCTCTCTCTTTCCCTCCTCTCTTCTCTCTCTCTCTTCTCTCTTCTCTCTCTCTCTCTCTCTCTCTCTCTGTCTCTCTCTCTCTCTCTCTCTCTCTCTCTCTCTCTCTCTCTCTCTCTCTCTCTCTCTCTCTCTCTCTCTCTCTCTCTCTCTCTCTCGTACTATTTCACATATACTCTCCCTCCCTCCCTCCCTTCCCCCTCTCCCATTCCCCCTCCCCCTAACCTCCTTCCCTTACCCCTCCCCCTCCCCCTCCCTCTCCCTCTCTCTCACCTGAATTATAACCAAATTGGCCACATTGGTCACGAGGACGCTCAGGGTGGCCACGAGCACCATCTGGCCCCGTCGCATGGTCTGGCCCGTCCATCCGATCGTGGCCACGACGGTCCCACACATGCTAGACTGGGCCATCGAGAAGGGAATATGTGGTTAGGGTTTGGGGTTGGGTAGGGGAGGTCTGTAGGATTGTTTGTTTGTTTGTTTGTTTGTTTGTTTGTTTGTGTGGGTATGTGGGTGTCGGTGGGTGTGGGTTGGTGGGTGCGTGGGCCTGTAGGATTGTGTGTGTGTTTGTTTGTTGTTGTTTTTTTTTTGTGTGTGTGGGTGTCGGTGGGTGTGGGCGGGTGGACGCGTGGGCCTGTAGGATTGTGTTTGTTTGTTTGTTTTTTTGTGGGGGTGTCGGTGGGTATGGGTGGGTGGGTGTGCTTGTTTGTGGGAGGGTGGGTGTTTTGTTTGTGGGAGGGTGGGTGTTTTGTTTATTTGTTTGTGGAAGGGTGGGTGTTTTGTTTGTGGGAGGGTGGGTCTTTTGTTTGTTTGTGGAGTTGTGGGTGCTTTGTTTGTTTGTTTGTGGGTGGGTGTTTTTGTTTGAGTGGGTGGGTAGGTGTGTGTTTGTTTGTTTGTGGGATGGGTGTGGGTGGGTGTTTATGTTTGTCTGTCAGTATGTGGGTAGGTGTGTTTGTATAATACATTATCCTGGAAAACTCAAATTACAGATGTATATCATTAAGTATGGTCACTGAAATATATATTTTTTTTCCGAAATACTCACAGCATTATCGTAAAATAATAGCACTATGAAAATGTTTACGAAATAAAGTATTAAACACGTTGGAATAAATTGAAACATTAAAAAATGTAAAACAACATAGA